AGCGACAACAACTTCTTGAAGATCATCGACGACGTGAACGGCGACTTCTTTGGTATGCTCATGAATTTCTCACCGAGGCCTTGGAGGATGACCCTGAACTACTGGTTTACTACGAGTGGCCTCATCCTTGCTTTGGTTGGAAACAAAAACCGCTTTTGGCAATACAAGCACTTTTTGAAAAACATGGGCATGAGTGGTTGGATTGTCGTATCGATGGATGTCGCTATGGTATGGTTGATGCACAACAAAACTTTCTGCGGAAGAAATGGTTGGTGAAAACAAATGATGAACTTTTTCACAGTCAGTTTCGTTGCAAAGTATGTCAAGGTGGACATTGCCACGGACGCATTGAGGGTCGTGAAACTCAGAAGTCAAGCTATTATCCCTGGAAGATGGTCCAGTCTATTGCTCGTTTTTGGGCAAAGCAGACTGTGAGCAACCAACAACTACGGCGCATGAACTTCCAGGAGATTGTTGGCGATGAGGACATTGACCTCTATGCGGCCCCTGCTGATGAAGATCCTGGCGAGATTGCGGCTGGTGCTGAACCTCCTGCACCAAATCCTGCGGATGAACCGCCCAATGCTGCAGAACGTGAATGGTGGAAGGCCAAACTCATGCACTTCCACAAGGCGGCTGGTCACTGCTCAAGTCGCAACCTCAGCCGAATTGTCCGTGATGCCAACTTGGACAAATGGAAGATCAAGATGGCTGAGGACTTCACTTGTCCAATTTGCGAAGGTTTGAAACCTGGTGGTGCTTCAAGCGGCAACGTGCCACCTGCTGCAACACATGCTCAATTTGGTCCTTGGCAGGCGCTTGGACTTGATGCGTCAGAATGGGTTGTGCCGGGCCTCAACCAAAAGATCAAGTTCTTGCTCATGATCGACTATGCCACCAAGTTGCGTGTTGCAATACCACTGATGGAGCCCTACGGCATCAATCAGATGCGTACAGAAAGCTCTGCCCAAGTGATTGAGGCTGTTTCCAAGAGCTGGCTGGCTCACTATCCAAAACCTGAGGTGATCATTCCCGACAATGGCATGGGCTTTGTGGCAAAAGAGTTTGCTGACTTTTGCCGCGACCAGAACATCGAGCTCTCCATGCCTGCTGAAAAAGAACCTTGGGCTCATGGATTGGTTGAGAATGCAATGCGGGAGTTCAAACATACCGCAACAGCTATCCAAATGGACAACTTTGCCCAGGATCCATCTGTGACTTTGACCTTGGCTGCCTCTGCACTTAACTCCACAGAGTTTGTCAGCGGCTTCAGTTCACATCAGTGGGCATTTGGCCGTGCAAACATACCGCAACAGCTATCCAAATGGACAACTTTGCCCAGGATCCATCTGTGACTTTGACCTTGGCTGCCTCTGCACTTAACTCCACAGAGTTTGTCAGCGGCTTCAGTTCACATCAGTGGGCATTTGGCCGTGCCTACACCATCAGCGAGGAAGACCGTCGACTTTTTGCCCAACTTGGTGATCGTGCATCTTTTGCTTCAATGGTTGCTGCTCGTCAAAGAGCTGAAGATGTAGCAACGAAGACAAGGGCACAGAGAATCATGACAAGGCTCAACAATAGCAAGGCCAGACAGCCCTTGCGCACCTTTGAGATTGCGGACCTTGTCAAAGTTTGGCGCAAAGTTCTTCCAAGTGATGCTTACAAAGGTCCTCGTGGCGGAATGAAACGCACCAGCAGACCTGGCTGGGTTGGACCTGGAAGAGTTGTCTTCACAGAACTACTTCCTCATCAAGACCGTGATGATCCTCGACGTCACATCATTTGGGTGCTCATGCATGGCAAGCTCTTCAAATGCTCAGTTCACAGTGTCAGGCCTGTGACTGCTGTGGAAAGATTTCATCATGATGTGCACTCCAAGGAGGACGTCACCAAGATGAAGACGCTTTCAGATCTTGTTCCAGAACGAGAGTTTGTGGATATCACCGATGAAGTTCCAGATCCTGATGAACCTGAACTACAAATCCTGCCTCCAAAACCTGATGACACCTCTGTCATTCCTGCGATGCGGATTTGGGGGAAGAAACAACTCCAATCAGATGACTGGAAAACTGTGCACAGGTCAACGCCTCTTGGACTTGGCGTCAGAGATCCTGCACCTCTCCCTGGACTTGGACGTGCAGAACGATCTCGGTCACCTGGACTTGACCGCAAAGCTTCCTCTTCCCAAGCTGCTGGTCTGAACTTACCAGCTGAGGATGCTCCTGTGCAACCAGTCAACGTTTATGGTGGTGATGATTCTCCCTATGAACCTGGAACTCCCATCAATGACCTTCCTGAGGAACACTCACCTGGTGATCCACACCCTGAAGCTCCTGAAAGCAAACGACCCAGAAACCTTGAATATGACATGAAGTGGGTCGAACAACTTCAACAAGATGCGGCCTTAGAAGCTCAAACTATGGATGTCCACACTGCTCTTCAAGATCCCTGCGTTGAAGAGGCCTTCATGATTTCCTTTGACCTTTCCATGGACTCCCAACGTCAAAGGAAGCAGCTCGTGAGGAATCCTTCACTTTTCATGGCCAAGAAGGTTGGCAATGCTGAAGTCCAATTGGTGAAGTTGACACCTGAACATCGAGCTCTTTTTGAAAAAGCCAAGTCGCGCGAGGTGGACAGCTTCTTGAAGAACCAGGCCGTGAGACGTTGTTTGGATGATCAAGAAGTTCGTAGAGCTGTTGAATCACAAAGAATCATCAAGGCGAGATGGATTTTGACATGGAAATCAACGCCTCCCGATGAGATAGATGATGCTCGAAAAGAAGCAAGTGAGGACCCCAACACTGTTCTCACCAAAGATGGCTCCAAAAAGGCCAAAGCCAGAATTGTTTTGCTGGGCTTCCAGCACCCGTCACTCCTTGATCGCACCTTCAAGACTGCGGCTCCTGTTCAAAGCATGGTGGGGCGCAACATGCTGTACCTCCTTGCAGCCCATCATCAGTGGCAAATCCATGGACTTGATTTGGCCACCGCCTTTCTTCAAACACAGCCGACAGAAGCCGATCAGGAACTCTGGACAACTGGCGTTTCCGAGCTACGTGCAGCTCTTGGCCTACAAGATGAGGGCATCATGCGTGTTTCGAGAAACATCTATGGTTCAACAACAGCTCCACGTGGTCTTTGGCTTGATCTTCACAAAAAGCTTGTTGGACTTGGTGCTGTACCAATTCTTGGCGAACGATGTCTTTGGGGTTGGTTTTCAAAAGAGCTGAAGGATGAGACCAACAAGTACCCCCGGTTGATTGGCGCCATTGGTGGTCACGTTGATGATTTTCACGTTGTAGGCGACCCTCACAGTCAAGAATGGCAAGCCATTTTTCAGAAAGTCCTGGCGGCATACAAGTGGGGAACTTCGAAACAAGGAAGTTACCGACATGCTGGGACGGACATACAGACCGTCAAAAGGGAGAATGGCCAGTTTGCCATCCACATCAACCAAGATGCCTACATCGAGACTGTCATGGATGTCAACCTGGATCCTGAACGATGGCGACAATCTGGACCTCTTTCAAAAACTGAGGTAGCTGCTTGCCGAACTACCTTGGGCGCTTTGCAATGGTTGGCCATCCAGACTCAACCTCAACTATGTGCTCGTTGCAATCTGCTTTTGACTGAAGTTGTAACAAATGGAACAATAGAGACAGCACGTGAAATACAACAAATGGTTTCCGAAGTTCGTGCTGCTCCTCAACATCTTCAGTTCTTCAAACTTCCAGGCACCAAGAAGTGGACCGATGTGGTTTTTATTTCAATGGGCGACCAGTCTCATGCAAATCGTCCTCAAGGTGATTCTACTGGTGGACTTTTGACATTGGCTGCTGGGCCAGATGTCCTGACTGGAAAGGTTGTCCCTATGAACCTTCTTGCATGGCGAAGCTGGAAATTGAAGAGGAAAGCGATTGGAAGCAACGATGCAGAAGTTCAGAGTATACTTGAAGCCGAAGATCAGAACTCCCGAGTTCGCATGCTATGGAGCGAACTTCATGGCGTTGGTCTATGCCGACCTGAACGACGAGCCGATCTGGTAACTGCTGCAGAAGAGCAAGCTTGTGCTGTAGCAGGAGTTCTTTGCACTGATTCCCGAGGTGGCTATGACGCTGTGGAGGTGAACGAATCTCCTCTTCTTGGGCTTTCAAACATGAGAGCAGCTCTCCAAGCATTTCAGCTTCGAGACAACTTGAAGCGGGTCAACTGCGATTTACGTTGGGTGGCATCCGACTACGACCTTGCCGATGCCTTTACGAAGAAAAGGGCTGACAGCAGAGTTGGTTTGATGAAGTTTTTGTTGAACCGACTATGGTCGATCGCTTACGATCCACACTTCGTTGCAGCAAAGAAGAATAAGCGCACCGGCAACACCGCGATTCAGAAAATCGACGATGCTCTGGGTGACATGCAAGTTCCTTTAACTGCAAGTGGTGCTTTTGATAACTATGCCGAGCATGCTCTCGCAATCAGTGCTGGCGAACTATACCGACAAGATCAGCTGGATGCTTTTGCAATCAATGCTGCTGAACTTCACAGAGAAGACTTAGCAGTTCTCGCGATCCATGCTGGCTCACGAGATGTTCCGATCGGTTCGATCTTTTCCCTACCTAGCCATAGTACAGTGAGCTGTGACCTGAAGTCCTTTTATGCTGGTGCAACTGAACCGGCCATGTCAGGTCACATCTCAGCAGTGAATGCTGCTGCAACTGGCTCGGTAGGGGCCCCTTTTTAGTTCCTTGGTTGAAGCCAATTCATGGCGACAGGTCGCTGAGACCTTTGGCGGTGAAACAGCGCTCTGTGCGCTTGGTGCGGCGATTGGTGGAAGTGGAGAAGAACCCCTACGGCCTCTAGGCCCTGAAGGACTTTGGTGGAATAGGGGTTGAGCCCAATAACCCCCACTGCCTGCTCCAGCTACAGTACCCCCTAATTAATAAACCATGGTTTATTAATCCGGGGTTGACATTACCACTTATATCCTCCACAGATCTCCACAGAAAGCCACCAAGCACCAGCTCCTCAGAGACCTCGTCCTCGACTGCCCATGGGTAACGGTTCGGCCTAGGTCACGACGGAAGGCGCCTTCCAGCCTTCCTCCCGACCTTCCAAGAAAAACCCATGGGTTTTTCAAAGGATATGGAAAGGATATGGGGACAATTTATATGGGCAAAGTGTTGGTTAAATCTTTGGATTATAAATGATCATGAATCATAACTGATAATTGACACAATGTTTGGATGTTTTTTGGGGATTGTTTCCAAAAAAAAACAGCTTTGGCGACAGCGGTGGAAACCCCAAAGTCATGAGCAACCCCAAGGGACCATCCAAGTTAAACTGGACGTTTTTTGTGGGGAAACCCATGGTGAACAGAACAGTAATGAACAGTACCTCAATTTTGAGAAAGACCCAAATGGTTTTTCAAAGGATGGGACCAACAAAATGGTCCAATTCGAAAATCCAATGGTTTTGTTGTTTTCAGGACATGCTGCAATCATCCACTAGCCCCCCAGTAAAATCGTGGGGTCATCAATTGCAGTGCATATATTTGTGTTTGTCCAAGAACGAGGCACATTTGTACCCCAAAAAAATGATGCCAAAATTGGAAGGGGAAATGAATTTAAAAACCCATGGCGATTTGGATGGTTTCTGGCGAGTTCTTGCTTGGCCAAATCCGAAAACACACGTCATAGATCTCCAGATTCTTCCAACTTTGATTCTTGAATTTTGGGGACGAAAAAACCCATGGCAAGGAATAGCCTCTGGTAATCTAACATGGCAAGGAATTGGTTTTCCTATTTTGAGATGATTCTCCCATGCCAATTCACTTCGGGGATGATCTGGATCATCCAAAAAAAAGGCCCAAATTGGCAACAGACTACTTGGATGTCCCAGTGCAGCATGTGCCTCAAAGCATATTATTGTATTATATTATATATCGATCCACCAATACACGGGTTGATTAATCCCAGTTCCAGTTAGTAATGGTATCTACATTGGGTGTATTCTACATGTTGTTTCCAATAAAAAAACGATCATTGATATGCAATGTCTCCGCTGAAAAGTTCGGCCACTTTGTGATGGCTACCGTTACCACAATCCTGACCAGAAAATGTCTATGCAGACATTAATGTGGTCCGTTTTCAACCCCAAACCTAAGATATAATTCATTAGTTGTTATGTCTTTTCATCTCAGGTATTCAAAATATGTATCAAAGATATCTCAGATATTCATAGATATTCCCAATATATAAAGTGGGTCAAGTATCATACTATCATATCATGATCCATATTCCCAATGAAGTGGCTCAAGTATATGTCAATGGAGTGGTTTTTCAGGGAACATCTGAAACCCGGAAAAAACCAAAACGAGTTGTTCCCATGAAAGATTGGGTGAAAAAAACTGTAAATGTTCCCTTAAACCAATGATTTCATGGCCACTTTTTTCAGGCGTAAAACATGGCCGCCGAGAGACGCTCAAAGACCGCCGAGACGATCCTGAAAAAACTGCCAGGGTGAAATAGTCCAGACAATTGCTTTGGTAAAGACCAGGTTACCAGGCCCTGGAAAATGGTGATTTAACCACGAAACCATAGGAAAATGGTGATTTAACCACTATAAATGGTGACTATAAATGGTGACTATAAATGGTGATTTAATGGTGAATAATGGGATGTTAATGGGATTTACCCTCCAGTAAATTCACATAGATCCTGCCAGGGGTTGGAAGATTAGTGAAACCATGAAAAATTGCCGATGTTCAGGGTCTATGTTAATTTACCAGAGGGTATATCTTGGTTACATAAAAATTATGATATGTCACTCTGAAATCAGGCAAGTTTGGGATAGTTGCTATAAAATCCCAGTGATAACCAATCTCTGGATTTGATTTTTTTGAGTTCACTAACCTGAAATAAGGCCCCGGGCCTCTTGTGGCCGGGATAGTTGCGACGTGAGGTATCCCAAAAAATCCTGGGTAAAGCGCAAGTTTTGAGGTTCCTGAGTTTTATGAAGTGGTTACCCTCCAGTAAATTAACATAGACCCTGCCAGATAGGGGTTGGAAGACTAGTTTCCACAATAAATTGGTCATTTTCAGGCTCTATGTTAATTTACTGGAGGGTAATGCCAACGAATGAGTTATGGAATTGGGCGCTGACATCAAATGGGTCGTTTTGTGTCACATCTAAACCCAGCCCGAAAAACCGGATTTGACCAGATAACGAGGGGACTAACCTTTCACCTTTCTGCAAAAAAAATAGTGTTCCTTGGAAAGTTGGGATATCCCAAGGTTTTGAATCCAAAATGAGGACTTCTGTAGAAACCAAACTATGGAAAGTGCCAAGAAAGCCTCGTAGTCGGGAGCTGGGATAGCTGTGGGTAAGAAATGAATTTTGCTTGTTAACCACACTTAAAACCCATTTATTGATGGGATACACCTCCCGGAAATAGATCATGAAAGTGGCGCACCACCCAAGTCCAAAAGACTATCATTATTTCGACACCCCCAATTCCGATATTGATCGGAAATCTGATTTGTTGATGGCGAGATCACCATTCTTCACCATGTCTAATTCTTAAAACCCGATCCAAAAAATATGTTTTTTTTTAATATTATATATATACATATACCCTCTGGTAATTTCACATACAGTAACTATGGAAAATCGTTTTTTTTCATGGGAAAATCCACTATTTCTATGGTGATTTTTCATAGTTATGCTAGTCATTACCAGAGGGTATGTGCTGGTTCAATCCCCTTTTGACATCCATAAATCCGTTTTGCACCTCCGCTGACCCCGGTGACCCCCAACGTCAACGTCGCCTGCATCTGGAGGTCGTAGAGTCCTGGGGACGAAGCTAAATGGATAGATGCGAACATCAATGGCCCATGTAAGGGAAGATCCCCACAATGTATGGAAAATGGCCCATTTATCGATGGTTTACCTATTAAGAATGGTGATTTTCTATAGCTATGTTAGTTTACCAGGGGGTAATGGATATTATACTGGTTGGTGGTTTTAACCATCTTGAAACATATGAGTTCGTCAATGGGAAGGATGACATCTCATATTTGATGGAAAATTACAAAAATGATTGAAACCACCAACCAGTCATGGAATATCCAGACAATATATATATACATATATATGGCCTTATATGGTACTAACGTACCTCCATTTTCGGATCCTGAAATTCCCATTAAAAAATATGCAGATATCCTCAGTATTTAACTAGTACTTAACTATGAAAAATACTGGAAAAAATATCGTACTTAACTATGACATAGGACTCATATATCCTCTATCAGATTCTATAGGTACTCAACTATGACATATATCGTCTATATAGATTCTATCACTATCTGGGCCCCCCCAGTTATAAGTTGGTTTATAAACACCAGAAAAACTAGAGTTTTCTGGGTATCATAAACCATACTTCTTGAAGTTATTTGCACCAACCTAGCTATCGTAAACGGGGGCCCCCCACATGGGGACGGAATTTCTTGGGGTGAAATCACAAGGCCCAGGCCAGGCGCCTGGATGGATAGGCAGTGACCGGTGGATAGTCCTCCTCTTCAAAGCTGATGCCTGAATACCAATTTTCATCAATGGGATTTGAATGGAAACCGAATGGGATATGTATTAATGGGAATTTACATTGGGACAATGAAAATTGAGCATCAAAAATTAGATTTTTGATCATGAAATTGGAATAAAATTCAGCGAATGGGAAAATGACTGGGATTTTTGGGATGAATTCGGATGAACGATTTTTTTTTGCAGTAAATTTGTAAAATTATGGGATGAATTTATAAACTTCATATAAAATCATAGGCGTTCCATGGAATTCCGGGAAAACAAAAAGGGCTGTTCGTTTCGATGCCCCATGGGATTCATGGAGATCGAGATCCGTGAATCATGGTGATATTTACTAAGGGGTGATGAGGCTAGGGATATTTAACTTGGAAAACTCACCTGAATAATGGTGATATAATAACACTATTTTTTGGGGGTGATATCATAATAAGGGGCATTTAACTTGATTCGGGTTCATTTATCCAGATTCAACATGATTCAACTATCAATTTATCACAATGGAAAAATGGGATTGAAGCATCGAAAAACATGGTGGAATACCCCAGAGGGTCACAGTTTGCTATTGAAAACGGCCATAGAAATGCTTGATTTATGTTGATTTATGTTGATTTACCAAACTTCAAAGTGGTGATTTCAACCATAGGTCTGTTAGTTGGTCTGTTAGTTTACAAGAGGCTGTTTGGGTCCACCCTCTTGGGCCTTGAAAATTTCCCACCAAAGGAATGAAGGTTAAGTGATGGGGCCACATGATTCAAAGGTAAGGGGTTCAAAAAAACCATCCCCCTTATAATTATTGTTGATTGTTACATCCGATCGTTATAGGCTTATCTCCCTGGTTATCTCCAATATTCCATCGACATCACCAACATTCCATGAATTTATTATCTCATCTGGTCATAATACCCCCATTCTATGATCCCAATGATGTGAAATTTCCCTACTAAACCATGATCTCTAAGGGGGTGTTTAATAGGGGGATAGGATGTTTTTCCATCATCCCCTTTATTTTTTTTTCTCAGGGGTGACCCCAATTTCAGAAACTTCAAGAGTTGGGGATGGTGACTATGACTTTTTTTTACCACATTACCAACAATGGAACGAACACAAATAGATACCCTCTAAACTAACGTAGATGCGGAAAACCATGAACATGAAGCATTTCCTCGGGTTTCCCCATTGGTTTTCCACATCTATGTTAGTTTACCCTAGGGAGTGTTATCCAATGGTATCAAAGTCAACCGTATCTCTTCATGACGCAGCAATCTTTGGCCAGGCAGCCTGTGTTGTCATCCTGGACGTCATCGCGCACCGCGATCCGAACCACCTGGGGACGGACTCAAACCTAAAAAACGGTGCTTGTCAACGTCAAAAATGCGGGTGTTGCCATCAAAAATTTAGAATTCACTGTGAAATATATATATATAATATATAATATATATATATAATATATATATATATATATATTATATATATATTGGGTTTTACGCAAAAAAAATGATGGGTCTATCAAGAAAATCCTGGTTTAATCAACGGAAATGGAATTTAAGCTACAAGTACCAAATAGAGGGCTTTAGCTGGATACAGCAGGTCAGTTGGATACAGCTGGATGATAGATGGGTTGAAAAGTCGGAGATATCAACACTTAGATTGCTGTATGAATCAAATGAATTGAGAACTCTTGGTGATAATGGCGAAAATTGGGCCAAAGATATCCCCAACCGGGCCCCCGCACGTTTTTGATGCCAACCCAACCGCAGGTGGCTTTCCCCTGCGGATCCTGTCCAATCACCTAGCGACGCCCACCAGGTCCGGTGATCTTTCACAAATCACTGGCCTTTTGAGGGGATTGAAAACGAGCTTAAAATGGTGATTCAAAGTGGAAGTTAACCAACGTTAACCATAGGGATGCCACTGGGCAGAACATGAGCAGATGGGCATCGGTCAACAATACGTCGTCTCCATCGGGAAAGCGTCCGTTGCCAGGTTCGACTACTGCAGAGGACTGTGACGATTCTTGAATTTGAGATTCATAGGGATTGTGTCTCCAAATTGAAAGGAGTTAATCGCCCTGTACGAACCATGTGCAAAGCCCGTTGATCAAAATCAACATCTAAGTGCTTCAGCATGTTAAACACAGTACGGTGGCGATGTTGTCTAAATAGGCTGACCTTTTCATAAATGATTCGACGACCAGGAGAACCACCGGAGGAATCTGAAGATGCATCCGCGGCCCTTCCTACAGAGAACAACCCACAACATCTCTTGCCAAACCAGCCCATCTATGGCAACGCCTCCAAGAATAGGCTACCCTCTGGTAATTTAACATAGCTATTGAAAATGGCCATTTATAGTGGATTTAACCATTGATAGCATGGTGATTTTCCATAGTTATGTTAGTTTACCAGAGGGTACCCAATTCCATCCATCATTTTCTCATTTGAACATTTTCTCATACTCAACTTTCAGAAACATGATGACCAACTTGTTGAAGGTTTATAAAGTGGATTTCCAGCTTTTTTTACATGGGGGATTTTGCATGACAATATTCATGGAAAAGGCCACATCCCATGGTTGTAACAACTATAACGACCCCAAATATCAGGGTGTTAGTGATCTTATATGGGTATGGGTCAAAATTAGGTACCCCAATAATTGGATGGTTAATACTAAACTAGACTAACATCTGTGGTCCCCTAGGTCTTCCATTTTGACCCACATCCATATGATGTTATCCCATTACATCCCCATTGTATCCCATTCCGCCATGGTGTCGCCCCTGGATCCGAGTCATGGCCTGCGCAAAGTCCCGTTCTCGTGCCAGTTGCCAAACACCTGGCCCCATGGCTGTGGCAGATGTTGATCGCTGCTGGGTGGTGGACTCCCAGCAAAAGTATCGTTCTTTTTGTTAACAGAACATGATCCCTAGGGTTGGGGTTGAACCTTTTTTTGTTGGTTTCATGTGTGAAATGAGTTAAACAAAATGAAGCAAGAAAGCATCAAAATGCATGGAATGAGCGGTTGACAGATTAACCGGAAAGAAGTGTTTATTCCAAGACCGAAACATGGTTTTGTGCCCCAACCTTTGCAACCAAAACAAAGTGTGGTTGGGCCAAAGACAATCTATTGAGGCATGACAGGCTGGTACATTTCAAATCAAACGGTTGGTAGTTTTTATGGTTTCAACAGCTCTGACAGATTGTTGGTCATTGGCCAGCTACGGCCACGCATGGGATATCAAGATAAATAGAAAATTCAGCCAGCAGCCAATGCTATAGCAACTCAGAAGCAACCCATGTCTAAGCGGAGGCGCCAAACCATGGGAGAGATCCTCGGTATTTTTGGTCAAAATCTTCGACAACTGGTAACTGGACCATAAAAAATGTTTACCCTCTGGTAATAAAAATATCACATGGCTGGAAAATCCTCCATTTACCCGGCCTGGTAAACATTAACAAAAAACGATGGAAAGATCCACCATTTTTAATATAATGGGAAAACTCGCTATAAATTGCCATGTTCAATAGCTATTTTGACATAACCAGAGGGTATTTCCCCAGAAACGCCTCCATTTTTAGGATTTTCCAGTGTTTGATAACTGGCCAGATGTTCGTAAACCATCCCATTTGGGTATCCCGGCGGCTGCCGGACGCGATTTCGCCCACCTTGGGGTGGCACATGCGCCATTTTCGGCCGCAAAAAATACCTGGTAGACTCATAACACTCATGTTAAGAAAGGGACTCTCATAAAATAATAATGTCAACCATTAATAATATCATTACATATTATATTATATATATATGTATTATGTTCAAAAATAGCCAAACATAGTCTCATCATCCACATTTCCGGGTCAGTCACGGTCACTCTTTGTGGTCACATGACCCGGTACTTTGTGGTACAAACGTATAAACATGCTAAATCTACCCCATAAGTTGAGATATAACTGATATGATATAATGGAGTGTACACAAGAATATGCCATCCCCAAGTTGACAAGAAATGGATACGATTGAAACTGTCCCCAGTTGGTGCTTTATGGGACTAGGTTTACCACATTACTGCCACATTACCCCATTTAATCGTTGCCAGCGTGGGTGCCTTCTATGGGTACCCTGGAACCAGTGGCTTTCCTATCAAAAATGACAAGTACTTTGGATGGTTTCTTCAGCACTTACTAATCATTATTTCTATTACTACTAGTAGTAGTATATAGTAACTAATATAGTACTTCTACTATTCACTATTACTATCACTTTTACTGTCATTCCGTCCTTCCATATCATATCCTTTTCAGTACCATCTGATGTGCTGGACCACCAACCCTCGTATCCATGCCCCCTGTATCCATGGACAACTCATATCCCGTTTTCAGAAAAACACCATCCCAATATCGACCCGTGGCCGTGTAGATTTTCCACGCTTTTTCCCTGCAACGAGAAGTCCCCCATAACCCCGGAAGCCCTGTCTGAGCCCCCCACCGTGCTCCGGCCCTGCACATCTTCGACGGCGCGGTCAAAGACGCGGACGGTGGGGTGGCCTTCCTTCTGTTGCAGTTCCACCTGGGAACCACCGGCTGTGCCATTTCCCCTGAGAAATGGTGGATTTCCTGATTTCCCCCAACATGGTGATTCAAGCATCAAAAATTTGAGTTTTGGGTCTGAACAATCAATTTAACTATCAAAAGAGACGGATTTAACCAAAGGATAGTGGATATTAGGGGTTTGTCTGAAAATGGGAAATGCCCCAAGATGGCAACTCAGATGGCTAAAATGATGCGTAAACCGTTTCACGGCAAACTGAAAGATGGCGCAGGGACGGAATAACTCGATCTTCCTGTGCATTGCGCGGTGATGTCCCATTGCCAGGCTAGGCAACATGTCAATGGAACATCACCCATTTATTGATGTTCCCATAGTTTCCCATGAAAGGTTGGGAATTCCCTGCATCAAATGACCAGAGGATAGCTCCGCAAGGGTCCATAGAAACCAGCCTGAGGATGCCATGGTTCAAGTCGCAAGGGATGGGGGATGGGTCATCCCACCACGCAAAACCCCTATGACACATGGGGAGATGACCCTCCCGAAACTTATGGGAGAAGTTTCCCATCTAACTCGACCATGGCACATATATAAATCAAAATATGTAACTATATAACGATAAAACTTTATAACTATAAATATAACTATATAACTATTAAAACGATATAACTATATAACTATGTAACTATATATCTACATATATATATATAACCATATATCTACATATATATATAACTATAAAACTATAAAACTATAAAACTATAAAACTATAAAACTATATAGCTATATAACTATACATACATACATATATACATATATACATAATGACATATATATATACACTACCTATAGTTATCATCCAACAACCACAGAGTCCCGCCCTGCGAACCCCACCTGTAGAACCTGCAAGGGTCCATAGTGATAAAGCAAAGCCGCTCGGATTCCTGGGTTTGATCCCTGGTATAGGGCCATCATCCACTCATAACTGGGGTTTTTTCTGGCTCGTAAGCTACAAAGAAAAATGAAGCACCTAGTATTGATTGTACTACTGGCTAAGCTTTATAGTTATATAGTTACATATTATATAAAGTTATATAGATTACATAACTATAGTTTAATAACTATATAACTACTATTGATGGTTACGGCAATTCGTGGGATTCGGCGAACTGTCTGAAAATGTCGTTTTTTCCCCCAACTCCGAAGGGATTTTGTTCCCATGGTTCCCATGAAAAGGGGGTCCCGGGCCCTGGCTCCCTCTTTCTTGCGGACAAACCCATCGTTAAGCACGAATCTTTCCCCCAGCCATAGTTCGATGATTTTTGCCAGCGAACGAAACCTCCATTGACTTCGGGGATTTTGTAGCTAACCATCCATGTTTGATTACCAGAGGCCGCCTCCCCCGTTCTTTTGGTGACCGAATTGCTGACCATCAATCCTAACTTCCGATCGATTTTACAAGTTCTCGGGTTCGATAAGCCCTTAGTTGGCTGGCCCGTACCTGTGGGGAGTACACGGGCTAGAGCTCCAGAATGAGATTGGCTTTGTCTGAAAATAGTGTACGCAGTGTACCTTCCATTTCAAAGGATTATTATCATATATTACTATCATATATGGGTTTGTATAAGGTTCGTATAAAAATTAGGTACCCGACAATTCAAGGGTGAAACAAATCCCTTTCCCCATTTGGCCAGGAATGGAGGGTATACCCTATTTTCACACCGATCCATATCTAAAAATCTATAGTATATATTATACTGTGCTGGATTGGGGCCCCAAGAAATTTAAATTGCCTTATAAGTGGCTTAACCATGGTTTATGGTTATAACTATAGTTAATGGGGATTATAATGGTTTATAACATAGACCCTGGCAGATAGGGGTTGGAAGACTGGTTTCTACTAAATAAATGGTTTATTTTCAGGCTCTATGTTAATTTACCAGAGGGTATACTGTGCTATACTCTACTATACTATGCCATCCTAGCCTATTCCATATTATATATAGTATGCTGTACTATCCAAAGCAACCGACACTATATGACATATACTATGACGGAACAGGATTTGTCAAAAAAAAGACTTTACTACACCCTCCTATCCGATATGATAGAATTACATATCGAAAAAAAAAACACACTCGGGTAAACTAAGAAATGAAATATGGCCATAGAAATGATTGATTTACCCAAATGTTTGCCAGATTGTTAGTTCATAGATGATGAGTCCCCATGAAATCCCTATGATAATCCCTATCATTCATGGTTAAATCGCATGAATAATCCCATCCCCCGTTCATATTAAACACCCCAATTTATGATCCCAATGATGTGGAAATTCCCTACTAAACCATGGTTTCGTTCAGGGGGTGTTTAATATTGAACCCCTATGAAATACCATGAAATCCCTATTGTTAATGTTTAATATTGAATCTCCTCTTACTGGTGCTTAGGGAATTTTCGGGATCCACTGGCTAACTATTCATAATCATCCCAGCAACCCCCAGCAACCCATCCATGTTTGATATTGAATCCCTTGGAGATTTCCTGGAGATTTCATGGAGATTTCATGGTTTAATCATTGGATCTCCTGAAAAAACCCGGAAGTTATTTGGGTATGGGTCAAAATTAGGTACCCCAATAATTGGATGGTTAATACTAAACTAGACTAAAATCTGTGGTCCCCTAGGTCTTCCATTTTGACCCACATCCATTTGGTGACTTGGAATCATCACCCCAGTGGATGAAAAGCCATTGAACATTGAACATTGGATGAAAAGCCTCAAAAATTCCCATGACATCTCCATTCAATGGGAGATCTCCAGGATCCAACAGATGGAGCTACGTTCGTAACTGTACCATATTTCTGGCCATATTTTCTGGGGATATCCTGAAATTCCCATGAAATCTCCATTGAAAAAACCAATTGAAATCATGAAATCTCCATTAAAAATGGGGAAATATCCATATTTCATGGAAATTCCCATGACATCTCCATTGAAAACCCTGAAAAAAGTACGTCTCCCGACTTTCCGAGGCGCCGATCTCGGCGCAGGGATCCCAGCGCTGGAGCTCGCTGAGCCGCACGCGTCTGAGGTGATGACTTTCTTTCTGGATGGACGACCGAGAAAAACATCCAAAATGCTGGGTTGCACCATGAGAATTGGTGGATTTATCATGATTTATCTAGGAAAAATGGAGACTGAACTGACTGAACTGACTGAGAATTTTTGTGGATTGGAAGATGAATTTCGACTAATCAATTGGTGATTTTCAGGGTCTATGTTAATTTACCAGAAGAGATATCAACAAAAAAATTGATGATATGGAAATATCATCAGGATCCTTGAGAAATACGGGTTGGATTTATATGTTCTTTCTTTCTGGGCGATTTGAAGTTCAGCTGCTCGCCTGCGTGACACTTGGAATTCCGATGCAATCTTACATGTGTCTTTGGATTTATATTGATGTGTATATATATATAATTATATATATATATATATGTTTGTACTTTCTATTCAGGTATTTCCTAAAGATTCAAGATTTCCCTAGCAATGGACCCAGGATAGAATAGTATAAGCTGGGATACAACGGGATATACAACCAACAATATCTGATGATATGATATGGGGGGTGTCGAAAAACGGGGGAGACTATGTACAGCACCCAAAGTTTGGTGATGTTTCAACGTCAAAATGATGGTCAACAATGAGTGAGCAGGGTTCAAACCTATGTCACAATGTTAGGACCCGGGTTGAAGCAAACAATTTTTTTGGGCAGCCTTCATGAGAAACAGTAGGATAGGATGGGACTGTTTCCCCACAAAACCATGGTGGTTTTCGAAAACGGTTTTCCTCTCTCAGTGTCATCCCCTTTCCGTTACAAGGCGGGATTCTCTGAATGAATCAGCAGGTACCCTCTGGTAATTTAACGGTTAGCTATTGAAAATGGCCCAGTCGAAATAGTGGATTTACCTATTGAAAATGGTGATGTTCCATAGTTATGTAAACGTTTACCAGAGGGTACTAATCATCCTCTAAGATAACTAATCAACCAGGATTTTCGTCACTCCTGAAGCGTATGAAGAATTTAGGATGTCTTTTTAGTGTATCTGGGTTTGTCTGGAAACACGGTTGGTCTGAAGATTTCGTGATCACCATTTTCCCAATCTACTCTCTGGTAAACTAACGTAACTATGGAAAATCACCATTTTTAATGGGAAAATCCACTATAAATGGTAATTTTCAATAGCTATGTTAGTTTACCAGAGGGTAAATGGCCATAAATTGAGTGGTCGAGTCAAGTCCCAATGTTCAGACAAACCCAAATCATATGATTAACAGTCGGTTTAGTATACAATGTGGGTAAAACAATTTCATAAGCCATCCCCCAGTCATCACCATTTTTAATAGGTAGGAACCATTCCCATTCATGGGTGGTTTATTAAACATTGTTTTATCCACATCAAAAAACATCTAGAAATCTCCATGGTTGCTGGTTAAATCACCATTTTCCTATGGTTTTCCTATGGTTTTCCTATGGTTTTCCTATGGTTTTTACCCACATTACCCCAGTATACCCCAAATAATTTCTCCGGGTGAAGCGCGCTTCGCCCTGACCGCTTCATGCTGAATCCCATGACCAGCTTGGCGCACCCCCAACCATCACCGACCAGACCTGGCCTGAGGGCACCCGGAAGTGGAGCGTCATGTGAAAAAGTTGGTTTTTTTTGTGATTATTGTGATTATTTGTCATGTAAAATAATCATGAAAAAGTGGAGCATGTTTATTTTCATTTCATTGTGATTTGTATTTTATTGTTATTGTTGTTGTTGTTGTTATTACTACTATTATGGTTGTTGTTGCTGTTCTTGTTCTTGTCCTTGTTCTTCTTCTTGTCCTTGTTATTCTTCTTGTTCTTGTTCTTGTTCTTGTTCTTGTCCTTGTTGTTGTTCTTGTTGTTGTTCTTGTTGTTGTTGTTTTGTGTATGCATATTATATATATATATATTAATGATATCAACAAATTGTAGCAATCCCCCCATCACCTTCAAACTGGGCTCCAAAATTAAAACGACTCAAATAATTTCCACCAGGGCGTTTGAAGGGTGTGTATGGTGAAAGGGTTAAGGGCATATATGTCTGAAAGTTGGAGACCAGAGATATCCCCAGTTTATGTTTGTTTGAATTGGGAAATTGATGATGAACCATGGGGAGTTGGGGGTACCCTCTTTTCTGACAAACCCACATGGGGAGAATACAACCCTCTTGAGATGGACGGGAACCAAAAACAATATGAGACAATACACTGAATTCGCTGGGTTCAAGTGCAAATTGTGCGACATGCCATATTTTTTAACCAGAAAAAATCCATGGTTGCCAGCATATTTGTTTCTTAAACGATCACCAGCAGGGTTCTCAGTTTAGCATGAGTCCTGTTGAGGCAAGCAGGTACGATTTTATTGAATTCTTTGGTATTCATTCATCTTTAGCTAGCATTCTTTGTGATTCAACTGCCATTTTGTGCAGATCATTCCCTATTTTTGTTTTAATTCCCGTATTTTTCTTGGTTAAATCCCCAACTGTGGCAATTCCATCCCAATTTTCTATCCTTTTTTTGACTTCAATCCATCAAAACGTCTCCCCCAATTTCTCCCCATCTGGGCCCCCCACCAGCCGTACAAGGCCCCCGCCAACTGGCCACAGATGGCACCCGTGGTATCCGCCTCAAAGCCGTGGCCCACTGGGGGACCCTCTGGTAAACTAACAGTGTGCTATTGAAAATGGCCATCAAATCACCATAGAAATAGTGGTTAAATGTGGTTAAATCCCATTAAATCCCATTAAATGGCCCAGTCGAAATAGTTGATTTACCCATTGACAGCATCGCCTTTTTCCAGTTCATGTTCGTTTCCCAGGCTAACTGGGCTGCTGGTGGCATCGGATTTTCTTGGTACATCAAAACGTTGCCAGCGGGGCCCTAGGTGAGGACAACTGAATGCAACACTTGGTAGCAGCGCATTCTCCATTGCTTTGATGTTACAATACCTGCTTGTGGGGGAAAAGCCCTCTGACGCACCCAGATCCATGTTTATAATTGTTTATCCCCATTGTAGTTCGCTTAATCTCACGACTTTGTTGGGTAAATCCTCTGAAGCCATTGGGATTATCATACCAAGTTGGTTACTGTAGCTATGCCCCATCATATCCCACTATGTCACCATTTTTTCAGTCCAAAAAAACTTGCACAGGATCTCGAGAAAACCAAAGGCATGATATTCGGGCAAAAGAGACCCAAAGAGGACGTGCATCAATGAATACATATATATTTAGATTTACATTTATATGTCATCTATTTTTAGATCTATATTTAAATATGTATAGTTATTTTTATTTACCTATTAGTTTGGTTTTTATGTGGTGATTTATAATTTTGAAGGTTTATCCTGACGGGTCTGGACCTGAAAATTCAGGAATAAAAAAACGAATCTGGTTGGTGGTTTCAACCCCTGTGAAAAATATTAGTCAATGGAAAGGATTATCCCATACACTATGGACAATAAAAAATGTTCCAAACCACCAACCAGTAGTACATGGTCATTTTCCCCATTATGGCAGCATTGCTGGTATACGGTATGCCTCATTTCCGGACACCACCTCCATTGTTCATTGGATAAATCTTTACGTTTGATGCTTAAATCCCATTCTTGATGCTTAAACTATGAAAACTCCAACTTTCGTCGATTACATGCCATTCAAATCATTCAAGTCCCATTTGTTGATGCTTCAAGATGCTTAAAGCACCCATTTTTTCGCTCTGACCGTCTGTACAGCCACCCCATTTGGTCACCCCCATGGCCCCTGCTGAGCTTCCCAGCGTCTCCCAGCAAGTTCACGGTCTTCATGATGCTTTCGGCAAGACCTCGGATGGCCCACAAAGCCACGGCAGACCATCGGTAGGTTTACCACGGCTGGGGGTTTCCGAAGTCATGGGGGTACCCCAAGCGAGCCACTTTAGGATGGTTTATTTCATGGAGATTCCGATTAAAATGGATGATCTGGGGGTAGCCCTATTTCAGGAAGCCACTTGGAGATTGAATAGAGATTTAATGTGATTCAACAGTGGATGGGGATTTAATAGTGATTTAATGGGCGAAATTGAGGTTTAATGGGATATTCATGGGATTTCCTTGCAGGATCTTCCCACTTAGTGTTTTTTAAACCCTGGGTCATCGAAGTCGTCCCCGATTTCTGGCTTAATTATCCCATTTCCAAATGGCGACCCGAACCTTTATGGTTGCTAACTAGTGACGATTCGTGGGATGATCATCCAAGCAAGAGATCATCAGATCATCCCAATCAACTCTCCGGTGGACAGATGCGCGCCAGCGACATCTTTTTTTTCGTTTCCCTCCGCTCCTGTACATTGGCACGGGCACGCTAGCACTGGCGACTCAACTAGCTGCTAGCTTTCTTCCGTGGAGGTTGCTACGCCGTTCAATGTCAACCGCAAATGAATAACCCCCCTGGACTCTTAATTGGGAGGCTGTCATTTCTTTTTTGGGGGCGGTGCCCCCAATTGATCTACCAGGGCTTTTTTCATGCTTCAAACAACACCAAACTCTGTCGTCCCGGGCGTCGCCGGGCACCGTTTTTCACGACGCATTGGTCGTGATAATCTAAACTACCAGTGAAGTGATCTTCCCACGGGAGTGAAGTGCTTTTGCTACAGCCAAGTTGAGGATTTGACCACTGAAAATGGAAAGTTAAGCAACAAATGCTGGGATTCAGCAATTCTCGGAGAATATGGCCTTGATAATATGAGGGTCCCATACTTAGCTAAGTTGCTTTACAACTGGTTGAACTGTTGTGTCAGTGATTGCACCTCTTCTTAGATGGATGTTTGCATTGAAGCATAACTTGCCAGGTTAGATTGCCAACATTCTCAACTTCCATGATTCTTGGCAACAATTCTGGCCAAAGTTGGCATCAGAATATCGAACCAAGATCAGTGCACAGTTCACCTTCAATCCGTCCCCAAGCCCTTGTTGATTGAGCCCGGGATTCCCCATTGACCCGATTCGAAAAAAAACTCAAATACTCCAGAGAGCCATCATTTCGCAATGAAATCTCTCCAGTTTTTGGAGGCTAATCTCACCATGTGTTGCGTGAATCTCCCAAATATAACTCATCAAGCAACAGCATATCAGCATATCCATCTTTGAAAGTTAGTAGCCTCACTGTTTGGAGGATTGTATACCTATATGTGGGAGTTTCCATAAATAGAAGTATCCCAAAAATGGTTGGTTTAGAATGGAAAATCCCAAAAATGGTTGGTTTATAATGGAAAATCCCATTAAAATGGATGATTTAGGGATACCCCCATTTCAGGAAACTTGCATATCACCATAATTATATAACCGACCATTCAAAAACGGGGCCGTAACGGCAGCGCACTACGTTCACTTCACTACGCGAAACTCAAACTGCACCTGAGCGAACGAGGTCGCCGTGGATATGGAATCCATTGAAACGCTGAAAATACCAACCAAAACCCGACCCTTGATATAATGGAAGTTTATAATATAGATTAATACAGTATCCATCTTAAGTACTATAGTATATATATAATATGTATATATTCCAAAGAATGGTTTACCATGTTTACCATGTTTATATAGTATAGTTATAGAAAATGGCCACTCCTATAAAAACGAACCGCTCATCAATGGGGCCGTGGTGTCGACGCCAATAGCCTCCAACGTTAGATCGGGATCTTCATGCAGATGTTTAACTGGTTGGTGGTTTTTCGCCCTACCCGAAAAATGATGAACTTAAAGTCAGTTGGGATTACTATATTCCCTATTAATATGGAAAGTCATCAAATTCCATGGTTCCAAACCACCAATCAGCCATTCACATTCCATTACCAGAGGCTTAATCACCATTAAATCACCAGGAAAATATCCCAATAAAATCACCATTAAACCACCATTACCAGCCATTTGAAACCACCAATCATGGTTAATACCCTCTGGTAATTTAACATAACTGTGGAAAATCACCATGTCTAATGGGAAAACTCACTATAAATGGCCATTTTCAATAGCTATTTTGACATAACCAGAGGGTAACCAACTTTGCTGGCACCCACCATGAAATTTACCCCACCGGTTGGGCCGTCCAGGTGCATCAGACACGGTTGCGGTGTCGCCGTTTTCACTGCACTCCATCCAACCATCGGGGTCCGTCAAGTCGACATTCCTAGCGAAGCGCTTAGCGAAGCGCTTGGCGAAGCGCTTGGCGCAGCAAGCGGCATCTTTTTTTGGGGGGCTTTCCACATTTTTTTGGGATAAAAAATGGGATGAAAAACAACATTTCATCACTATTTCTATGGTGATTTGATGGTGATTTAGCCTCTGGTAGTGACGAACAAAAAATAATTGTGGAAAATCCAGCCATGTTTCATGGGAAAAAATCACTATTCCTATGGTGATTTTCCATAGTTATGACAAATTACCAGAGGGTAACTTCTTTGAGCTCAATGGATGGCTGGTTGGTGGTATACCAACCCCTCTGAAAAATATTAAAGTCAGTTGGGATGATGAAATTCCCAATATATGGAAAAATAAATTTCATGTTCCAAACCACCAACCAGATGGGCATATAACAAGAAAAACATCGGCAGTAAAACCTGCGTTGCTTCACATCCCCACTTAAACATTGACGACAAAAACGGGTTGCATATTCAACCCCAAACCCATCGGAGTTAAATTTCGGATTTCAAGTCATTTTAGGCATAATCCCTTTAAAAATCTGTGAGATGTTCCATTTCCATGGATGAAGAACCCTGGAATCCCTTCCCCGAATCGTAAATACAGTACCTCCCTGGAAAACCCTGCTGAAAATGTAGTGGCTCTAATCATGATTGGAGTCCCAAACATGGGTGGGTTATGATTGAGGGACGGGATATTTGGTACATGTGGTACATGTTTTCACCCAGTATTTCTGTAGGCTTCCATACCAATCTTATAAATATTGGGTTGAATAAATCATGATCACTCATGATCAATCCATATCTTTGATGCTTACATCGATGCTGAAATCCCTATTTTCAATGGATACGTGAAACCCCAATGTTTCATGGTGAGATTGCCATTTTCATGCTGCTAAAAAAAATCACCTTCCAAGGCGCTCAAATCGACCCCAGCTGGTCTCCACTATGAGGCCAATGGGGTACCACTTCACCTCGTCGTCCCCGCATGAAAAAGCTGAGGATCGAACGGATGGAACATATGAGCAGTGTTCAAAATCCCTCTGTTGTTTAATATAGATTCCCCGTTCTTGGATTAGTGTCATCCCCAGTATGTATATGTGTATATATATATATTGGGTAGTATAATCCCCGAACTAATCATCAACCACCAGAGTTGAGCAGCCACTGCTCATATGGAGATCAATGAAATTAATGGAATCCATGGATCTCAGTCAGAATAAGATCTTATTGAATGATACCCTCTGGTAAACCAACATGACCATGGAAAATCACCGCTTTTTTATGGGTAAAGCAACTATAAATAACCATTTTCAATAGCTATGTTAAATTACCAGAGGGTAATCTAAATTCATGGACTGTCTAAGTTATGACGAATGATTCCCTCTAACATCATGGATGGACTAATAATGGAACATCTACAGGAAACCTTGGTTATGTTTAAAAATATTCATTCCCTTAGGAAAAAAAATACCCTCTGGTAAACTAACATAGCTATTGAAAATGGCCATGTATAGTGAGTTTTCCCATTAGACATGGTGATGTTCCATAGCTATGTTAAATTACCAGAGGGTAATGGATACTGTAAACGATGTGAATTCAATCCATAATGGCGTGGGAAAATTGATATTGATATAATCCCATCAAATATTTAACACCCCCTGTATGGTCCTAAATTCCAAATATGCGTGAATATGTGTGAATATCCTGCTAAAGCATGGTTTCCGATGTGTATTTAATGTTAGGGGAATGGGATTATATTTTACATTTATGTTTATATCTATATTCATACTTAAATTTGTTTCTATAATATATATATATATATGTGCACGGAGAATAATAGGATATGTGGGAAATAATGGGATTTAACCAAGAAAGTATATGGAAATATGGGTGATGCTGATGCAACCAACTCCAACTATTCTATTGTATACTTTGTGGGATATGTTTGACTATACTATACTAATCTACCAATAATCTATCAACTGGTGGATCTTGTCCACAGTGTCTGGGAATGCTCACCAAATATGGGTATCATCTGGATGAATTGCAGAGACCAACCTGAAACAAGGCCATTTACCAAATAATAAACGTTAACAAAAAACTATGGAAAATCACCATTTTCAATGGGAAAATCACAATTTATTATGGAAAATCACCATTTTGAATGGGAAAATCCACTATTTCTATGGCCATGTTCAATAGCAAACTGTTAGTTTACCAGAGGGTACCAGCGAGAAATCACATACAGCGACACGTCACAGGTTCGGCACCGCGGCAGTCAAAAATCCCTACCTCAGTGGGGCGACCCGAAAAAGACCTCACATCCCACTGGTGGCATGCCAAATACATGAACAATCCATCTGAATCAGCTGTATGAAAATGTATAATTATATAATATATATATATGATATATAGTATATATATAATATATATATATAATATATATCATATATATATATATAATACATATATATATGATATATGTATGATTGTCCATTATGGACAATCTCGAGTGCCAGGAGTTTCTCCGGAAATTCACAGCTCACAGCTGAAAATCTCCATCTCATTGGTGCTGACAAGACACCGGTTGCATGGTGCCTCCCTCTGAGTACTGGTGCAGGACCTTATCCTTCACTTCCTTGTCC